ACGCTCGAGAGAGAGGCAGGAGTGACGAACTTTCCCTTGTTTTTTGAACAAACTTCCTGGGACTGAACCCTCTTCAGGTTTGTGTGGGAAAATAATTCTTTACTTTCAGAACACATTCTACAGTGAGTAAGTAGGCTCTCTTCTTTGACAACCATTTTTATTTCTGGACTGCTTGTGGCTGAAAGGATGGTATGAGTCCATAGGGGTTTTGCTGTGTTAATCTAATGATTTTGTCATGTGAATCAGCTGAGTGAGCTGTAGCTGAAGTGCATTTTTAGGTGTTAGCAAGTGTGCTTGCTAACAGAGTTTGCAGGTTCCTGTAGATGTACAAACCAAGATTAATGGGCAAAAAGAGATTTGTGTTTTCTACTTGTGACCTCAAACTGAGATAACCTGTACAAAATTGTAAGACCTAAGTGTTTAGGGAGAGTGTCTTGATGCTGAAATTTTTGGTCAGCAAAGACTCTGGAGCATGGGCCTGGAAATCCATGCTGAACCAAGGAGATACTTTTGTGGTGGTTTTGGGGTGAGGGTACTGGTGTCTGTCCAGCTGTGTAAAAGGCACTGAGGTTACTGACAGGCTCTAAACGAACGCAGGGATGAAAAAGCCTTCCATCTTCTGGCTGCCAGTTTTGGTTCAGAAGAGATGAGGAAGGACTGAAATTGCTATCATCTTTCTGGTGATGGATGAGAAATGAATCTGTGAAGTCAGGACTTTTCTTGCTAGTATGTCACCCTGTCAGCCCCTTTGCTTCTGCCATGAATGATACCAACCAGGTCTCTTATGGAAAACTGACAGCCCAAGGGAACAAGAGGAATGGACTGTGAACACTGAGGTACCCTTCCAGTGCTGGGGTTTTCCCTGAGGCAAGCTGTAATGCTGCCTGGATGAAGTGCTGCTACAGTTCAAGGTGTACCTTGGACTGTTCTTCTGTAGACAAAAGCTCTGACTCCAGAGCTGCTCAGCAGGCATCTCTCATCACCAGTGCTGTTTGCTTTGTTTTCTGGGCAGAAGGAGAATTAAATTGTAGGTGTCTGTAATTCTTACACTTGAAATCTTCAGGACACTTTGTGCCTGTGCTGGGTCCTGTATTAATACCAAAATTCCTTGGAAAACTGTCTCTCTCACTTGATTCGCTTCCCTTTTGCTTCCTTCTATTGGTTTTTTGGGTTTTTTTTTTTACATTTTGCCTGGCTTTTCCATGCTCTTAGGGCACATATTGTTGGGATGGTAGTTGTTTGTGCTCAGCCAGGGAATTAGACTGGATTTTGTTACTGCCTGCTGTTCTAACTCTGAAGTTTTGCAGTCATGCATGGAAGTGCTCAGAGGGAGAGGCCAACTTCATTTACATGAGTTTTGCAGAGTGTATGCAACTGAAGCAAAACATGGAACTGAAGCAGCTCTCAGCTCCTCCTCAGTGAAGCAGTTTATAGACCCAGAGGCAGAAGGTCAGGTTTTTCACCCACTGTTACTTCCTGAGCATAATTGTTATTTATTGCTGAACAGGAGCTAGAGAGGGCAGAGCTGCATGCTGTAAGGAGGTGTATGGTTCCTGGGATCTGTAAGGGGAGTACTGCTGTTAAATTTAATCCTGTCTCATCCCTGGGAGGGAGCATGCACACCTAAAATGCATTGGGGTGGCATCTGTGAAATGTATTTGGTTGATTTCAGACCAGTTCCTGGTGTGGATTTGTGCTCTGCTACCCTTGGGGACTATAAAAAGACCAGAGGTGTGCTGGCTGAGAGAGGCTGACCTTGCCCTTGGTCAAATGTGAGGCTTGTTAAGATGTTTTGTACAGGCACAGCTCCCTTTTCTGTGGTTTGTACTATGCTTGGACTCTGGGAAAGAGAGTTAACTGTATTTCCTAAAATACAGAGTACTTTGGAATAATCTAACCTCCATCTGGATTCTCAATGCAAATATCTCCAAGTCCTGGATCCCCTTTGAAAAGGACCTGGTGCTTTTAGGATGGGGGTTCTTCAAGCTGTCTCTCCAGATGGTGTCTCATAAGATGGGGGTACCCCAAATCTCTTGGTAGTGCTGAAATCCTTGGGTTTGGTTCTTGTGCATAACACCATACCTGTGGAGTGGGGTAACTGATGGCCTTACATTCTGCTCTTGTCCAGCACTGCTGTGCTCCTGAGGGTGAGGTTCTTGGAGAGAAAGATCCTTCCTGTACACCATAGATGTGCCAGCTCTTAACTGGGTTTACTGGAAGCTGGGTGGCAGTTGACCCACATAAAGATAATGACACCTGGTTTTGTGCATTATATGGTATGTAGTGTGCTTGTTCTGATGTCTGAGCCTTGGCAGTACAGTCTGTGTGGATCTTCAACAATCCAGTAAAAGTTAATTGAGGAGGAAGAGGTATTGCAGAGCTTTCAAGTAAGATGAAGCTGTTCAGCCTGGAAATTGGTTGCACAAAATCAGGAGCCTTTAGGTGCTAAAATAGCACAATGCCTGTAGTTGCTAATGGCAAGTGAGCAGGAGTTGGGCAAGGACAGCATTCACCTGTGTCAGTGTGTGCTGCAGGAGTGGATCATTACTAATCCCTGGGGAGGCTACACAGCTCTGGCAGAGGCAGCCCAGGCACGGGTAGGAGTAGACTCAGCTCTACATAACCTGCCCCATCGCAGGGAAACGGGGCCTGTGGTGGCAGCAGTTGTACTGGCACCTCAGGCTGAGGCTGGACATGGAATTAATTCTCACAAAGGAGCAGACTCCACTGCACACAGCCTTTTTCTTTGCTCTTGGCACAACTCCTTGCACACGCCAAGGTTCATGCCTGGCCCGTGCTGGCCAGATGCCCTTGGCCAAGCTGGGAACAGAAGCCCAGAAATGCCAATGGTCAGAGCCATAAAACCAGTAGCAGGGGTGTGTGGGTGCAAGTGTTTGTGCAGGCACAGCCTTAAAGGCTCTAGTTGTGTGTCTTTCTCTCGCTGCTTTTTATTTTACTAGTGTTTTTGTGTGTCTCTCTAGCTATGAAATGCAGGTGTCCCATATAACAAGAAGGGAGATAAAATTCACTGTAATGGCTACAATTATACTTAACTATGTTGAGTCAATCTGGCAGAAAGAACATCATGTTCAGACTGGCAGTTTATATTGTAATGTCCTATTAGGCAGTAAGGAAAGCTGTGCCTTCCTGAGAAGAGATTTTACACAGACAATACAGCACAGATTTAAAGAAAAATCTTGGAAGGCAATGTACATTTTAAATTGGGTTGATGAGATGTCACATCTTGACTCCCTTTCCCTGCCTGCAGCCCCTCTGCCCCCCAGGGCTGTTGACCAGCCACTTAGCCCAGCAAGGCTGTGCCAGTGGCAGTTTGTGAAAGGTCATTTTAGTATCAAAGCTGTTGTGTACCAAAGTACTGGTGCTACTAAGCAAGCTGGCTGGGCAGGCAAGAGCTACACCTGCTTGTTGGGGGATGGGGTGAGGTTTTGTTGGACTTTGGTGTTTTTTCAAACATCCTGCAGCCTCTTAGTGCTGTATCTCCAGTAGATCTGACGAATTACAGCAGCATTTCTAATGGGGGGAAAGGGACATGTCTGGCCATATGGGTTGTGGGGTGGGTTTTTTTGGGGTGGTCCTTTGGTAGCAGAATTGTCCTGAAGTCTGTGAATAGGTGCATTTTTCAGTGAGCTGCTGCAGGGCATGTGGCTGGGGTAGCTACTGCCCTTGCTGCCTGGTTAATTAGTGAGCTGAGCAGACATCCTGCTTTCACTGTGTGGTATGAGAAAGTGATTGGGGAGGTGTTGGGTGAAGGTTTGTATTTGCTTAATTTCATATGCAGCTCCTAAGAGTACATTACATGAGTCCTTTTTGACACTTGCTCACTGAAGCCAATACAAGTGCCCTAAGTTTTCCACAACGTTTGCTCCAACCCCTGGAATATAATAATAGTTCATGCTTGGACTTTGCACTCATAGAAAATTAAAAGGAGATAAAGTAGCTAACTCTAACTTGGGTCTTAGATAAATAAAGTAGTTGGGGTGGTGTTTGTTTGGTTTGGTTGTGTTGGGTGGGTTTTTAACTGTCACAGCCTGTGCACCTACAAATTGAATGGTAGGGGCAGTTAATCCTGCCAAAACCTTGAGCCATGCAACAACATCCCGACCCAAAATGGCAGCAGTGGGAACCCACCAAATGGCTCAGCTTTCCTGCAGCTCTTGTTGCAGGGGGAACTTCCACCATGGAGTACTTTAGCTCTTTTCATCACAGCTGCTTTGTTAAAGCCTTGCCTTTCTCTAAACATACAGCAGCAAAGGAAACAACTGAAGGCAAGATTTCTGCTGGCACCTGCTCCTTAGGAACAGTATAAAACAGCTAAATGGGTGCACTAGCCACTACTGTCCTGTAACCAGGTTTCTCATCCTAGCAGATGGCAAGGAGTTTACCAGCTTGCTTTCCAGCATTGTATGTTCAGTTCCACAGACTTTATCAAGCCACTTACTCTAGGGTAGTTATGTTTTGCCTCTTTGCACCTGGTAATCTGTGTCATGCAGCATAAAGTGAGCCTGACTGCTGCAGGAAGCCAGCTGCCACGTTTTGCCACTGCTGAGCAGCCCCATCAGGCACAGCCTGTCCTCAGCCCTGGCCACTGGCCCAGCAGCAACACAGAACCAGTTGCTGCTGTGAAACTCTCTTGTGACTTTCAGTGTGTGCCCTCCCTTCTGGCCACACAGCTCCTGGAAGCTTCAACCTGCACTGAGATCAACCATTTCACCTGTACCTATGGCTAGAACACATGGCCTGTGCCTCCATCTGTGAAGAGCTTGCTGTAATGGTGAATAGACTTCCTGGGTTCCTGACAGGTGTGGGCAGAGGTAGCCTCTAATCCAGGTTAGGGAGAGAGGAAAACCAGTAACTAAGACAACAGCACTGATGTGTTGACAGCTCTGTTCACATGTGGGAGCAGCAGTGTAAGGCAATGTTTCAACTCCCTTTTCCTGAGACTGAGAATGATGATAAGGTGTACTTTCTGTTTGAAATAGGTGCAGTACTTCTTCAAGATTCTGGACAACTAAGAACCTCCATCCTCACTCACTGCAAAAGACACGCACACAGAACGGTGTGTTCATTCATTTATTTGTCCAATGTTTCAACCTGACTGAAATACAAGATCAACAAGAGCACTGTACTCCTGGCTATTGTTACAATGTTAGAACATAGAGTTTTGCACTTTAGACAACATTTAACACCATTCTATGGGGTACTGCATTGCTTTTATAAAGTTTAAAATAAAGATTTATTTTCAAACATGTGACTTTGGTTTATTTCATACATTACACTTTCTTGCAGAAAAAATAAAATTGTACAACTGCATAAATATAAAATTCTTCCACCATGAAAATGGCTAAAACATTCAATAAAGACATTAGCACCACAGTGTGCGATGCCTCCAGCAGGAAAAAGAAAAAAGAAAAAGAAAAGAAAATATACAAAGCAAAGAGTTATGCCTATCACTGAGAAGAGTGATAGTCTGACCCGGTCTCTCACACAACATACTGGAGGAGGAGGGAAGAGGTGGGGGGAGAGAGAGA